AGGGAGCAGCTCCAGCCTAGGCAGCGGCAGCAGGAAGCGACCTCTGCTCGCCCCGCTGTGCAACGGGCTCATCAACTCCTACGAGGACAAAAGCAACGACTTCGTCTGGTGGGTTGGACAAGCAGCCTCCTCCCCCTGTCTGCATTAGGAGTTTCTGCTGTGGGGGCTGCTCGGGTCTCGGATGAGGGCGATCTGTTGGGCGCTCTGGCGGTGTCCGCAGATTCGAGCATTTGCGGGGTTGGTGGGGTGAGATGGGGAAATGTTGGCGTCCCTAGGCAGGGTGTGGGTACTGACGAGGTCAGTGCTGGTGGGGAGAAGTGAAGGGAGTTTAGGGAATAATTAATAAAGGGGGAGTTGGAAGGTCATTGTGAATAGCTGTGCGTAAAAGGAGAGAGTTGAGGACGGAGGTTGGGCCTTGAATTTTCCGGCTATTTGGTGAATTAGGCATCCTGTCGGGATAGCTCGTTGAGGTGAATTAAAATTGTAAAGGGAGAGGATCAAGCTTCCTGGGATGCGGAGGGAGGGAGTTGTTGGTTAGAATTTGCTTTTTGAAAGTATTGTAGATGGTGCTGTCAACATGGATGTGGATGTTTTACGAAGTAGTATTTGATGTAAGTATCTGTCGTGTGTACTTGTAAATATCTCCTCCCACTTCAAAGGCTAGGTCAGTTACTTTTAAACTTGTTGTGGAGGCTCCTGTAGTTGAGAAAGTCTTTTCACAATAAATTACACCTGTCAACTGAATGTCTGGAAAGAGGGGATCACATTTATTAAATAACATCCGTGTGTCAAATATAACTGTACTACATCTGTATTAACACAGAGTATACTGGAACTTCTGATTTGAGAAACTCTAGGAATTAGATGTGTTGTCATAGTAAGCATCTTGAATGACACATAGTAGTACTCACTTATGACATTTGGCATAGAGGGTTCTCATATTAAGTGAAAGACGAAGTTGATTGTCTTGCTTGAGAGTGTTTCGGGATTTTCATTGGGTTTTTATATCCGAAACCCAATCCAAGTGGTAGGATTACAACAAAATAATTGCTTGTAGCTGAGTAAGAACTGGTAGGATTTTGTGCTTTTCCTTTGGAGAAAATTGTTGGTAGGTTTAGAATACTAGTGATGTAGGAAGTTGGCTTGCAGTGCCATAGGGGAAGTTGGTTCACTTCAGGGTTGAAGATGATCAGAGTTGGTGTCACTAAATATGATAGGGCTAGAAGTTAGAACTATAGGAAAGTTATTGATTAGACTTACAGTTTCTAGTTCCTGCAGTAAGTATGTTTTTATTCATATTTTTGCTTTTGTCTTAAATTATTCTCGATTAAGAATTGATTCATTTTTCACTGAACCTGGGCTATATGTTATTTACAAATAATATGAGCAGCTTATAATTGGGTCTAAGAGGTGTTTTGCTGATACCCAGTAGAGAATGCCATGTGATAAAAGCAGAAGCCAATGAAGCAAAGTGAGGGTTTGCAGAATTTGTCTCTTCAGCCACCATTTGCATTTCAGTTTTCAGCAGGCTAAAGGAAAACATCCAGCATCCGTATAGGTACACTAAAACAATGTAAAATGTGTGGGAAATAAGGGAATTCTTCATTCATTCAGCAGATATTTAGCTCTCACTGACTGCCAGGCTCTGTATGCGCATCATTATACTTACTATAAAGCCATTTTATAGGGAATTGCAGAGGGATGGTGGAGTATAAGCAGCTGGTATTAATTTTTATTTTTTAGGGGTAAGGTTATTAAAATTTTCATTAGTCTGTCGCCTAATTTTTTTAAAATTTCAACCCAGTCTCTGAATCCTAACCATGTTGCTTAGATTATTCTGCTTGCATTTGTATTCTGAGCGTCCAGTGAGAGTCTTTAGTTAAAAATTCCAAATATTTCACTTTCTGAGAATCTCATAGTCTGTTGTTTCTTTTTCTGGTGGGGTTAGATACTCAGAAAAATTCATTAATGTGAATCATTTTTTCCTGATTCTCAAGCTAGATTTGATTTGACCAACCTTTTGGGGTGGGAAGATAAGGATTAGGCAAGGCCTCGGGAATCTTCGTCATTTCTGATTGGCTTTGGTTGGTTGGTTGTCTGCTTCAAGGTCAAATTGTGAACCAATCCAAATTATTCTGTTTTACATCCAAATGAGGCTGAAGTTTGAATAATGATGATAATTCCTTATCACATTTAAAAGATGTTTATACTTCATGTTTCATTTTATCTTAGAGCAATTCTGTGAAGTTATATAGAACTTCCAATTTTAATATAATAGTAATGTAACTATTCTCATTGAGGTACAGGGAAGTATCTTTGTTTCACATTCGACAGCTAAGGGGCAAAATGAAAACTCAGATCTGCTAGTTCTCAATTTAGTGCTTTCTTTGTGTGAAATTTAAAAATTTCAGCTCTGTCAGTTTGAGTACATGTATTTAGCTGTGTATTTAGCTTTGTGGTTCTTAAATGTCATAGATTGTGGGAAACAGATGTTTCATTATCAGGGGAGAGTTAATAGGTAACTTGGAGTTGGATAAATCTCTGACATTCAAAGAAAGTCTTTGTTACTTTGAATTTCTTTCAAAGTTTCTTGCATGATCTATTTAACTAAACTAAACTGTGATTCTTGCCTGTATTTGGAAGGCCACTTCTTTCTTTTATTCTATCATGCTACTGTTGCCTCTTCATTAGCTTTTCCAACTCCCTGAAATGACGTTTTCTACCTCTGCAAGTCTCAGATGGTCTCTAAGTTGTAGCAGAAATAAGTATTTTTAAGTAAATAATAAGCCCCTTGTGGGAAGGTTAACTCTGCCTGCCTGCTAAAAAGTAGGTAGGATCTACATTAAGTCCATCTACCATTTAATAAATATATGATTGCCTCTCATGTCAAACTATTAATAATAGACTCTATCCTGAAGGATTTCATGATTTAATGTGAAGAAAGAGTCTTAATCACATAATTATAGTATCACATCCTGGCATCATTGCTTCTGTTAGTACCATGGCAGATATTAAGTACTCTTCTGAATTCAGATGTTGTCTCACAGTCCTCAACATAGCCCTCTAGGCAGCCACTACTTATTAATCACAGTCTAAGTATTAGAAATGAAATCTGTTGACCATTCTTGCTACTATAACTGTTTTCCAGACTACTAAAAAGTGAAATAAAATAGGCGATATCATTGAACCTGTCATGATAAAGATAAGTTTGTTTGATGAAACTTTTGGTTAAATATTTATGTACTATGTATGTACAGTGTACATCTTACTGGGCATGAGGGTGAAAAAATTTCGAAAGTCACTGAATTATGGGATATAATTTCCCTTGTGATAGTTAGGAAAGTAAGTGGAACATTTAAGTGAAGTGGTCACATTTTAAGACCATTGTGAGCTTATGAATGGGACTAAATAATTTAAAGAGCTGTTAAAAGCTTTAAAACCACTGAAATAAACTTCAGAGTTTATGTTATTATTATAGTAACATCAGCCAAGAACTTCCTTGAATCTGTAAAACTGAAACATAACGATTCCCTTGCTTTATAATACATGTGCCATTTGGATGACAACGGTGATGAAAGGTACACTGCCGAAGATGATGTCAGATCATAGCAGTTCATTATGGTCCTTCTAACTGTCAGATGATGGGTGATCAGCGTTGCAGTCAGCTGAAGACTTAGGTGGATCAGATGGTGGAGGAAAGAAGCAGAATATGAAAGACTTTTAATAGGTGTAGTAGGTGTAGTAGTAGTTCATTACTGAAGAATGTGCTGATTAGTAGTAGTTGATTTTCCTTCTACACAGTTTTCCTGAGAACAGACCACGTTACTTAGTTGACCATATTCCATCTAGGAGTTATTATTGATTAAAGTACAGCCTTAAGCCTTATTGCACATTTTTTTCTCCTTGCATTTGTATGTTGTTGATGGTGATTTCTTTGCTTTAAATAGTTGTTCTAGGCTGCAGCCCATTTCCTCAGAACTTCGGTAGCTTGGGAAGAAAGGCTTTGACAGTAGGATTGGTCAGTCTTCTCTTCCCTGTTTTGTGTTTGTACTATCCAGAATAAAATGCTTCTTAAATTCTTGACTTGTTTTCTACGTATGGTGTTCTCTCCCCATTGTTGCCCTCTACCTTGCTTGTTCTTTGTCCTCTCTTTGTATGTTTGTGTACTAGATTCTATTTGTATTAGATCTCTACCATCTCAAATATTTTCATTGAGAGTATATTTTTTCTCTTTATGTCTCTCACATATAAGTTAATTGTCTTTTCATTTTTCATAGTTTAGATTCATGAACTGATGTTGTCTCTGTTTCTGTGTAGAGGGAAAGGTGGGTTGTAATAGGTGATCTGACTTCTGTTCATTGTGTTTCTGATACTACCTTTGGGAATCATCCTTCTCTCTTCCTAGTCTGGGTGGTTTGATGTTGGTGCTTTTCTTCCCCAAATTCAGAATTGGAATCCATGATACCAGGTAGCCCAGTGCATTGGAATTCTTGGCCACGGTTTAGCTGAAGGTTGGGCATTTCGCTCTAATAAGAGATAATGATGCAAAGCGGGTTTAGTAAAAATTGCAGATAACTATTTTGAGGACTCATTTAGATACCTAAAATTCAAAGTTCATAAACGCCAAATTCACTATAAAGTGAAGATTTAATGTATTGCACTAACAGTTGATTCAGCATACATAATAATAATACATACATACTCCAATATAAGCTGTTGCTAGTTGCCAGGTACTGTTCTAGGGTTTAACATTACTTATTCAGTCTTTATAGCAACTGTTGGATACAGACAGTTTTATAATACCCACTTTATAGATGAGGATCAGAGAGGTTATGTAACTTGTTTCAGTTCATACAGTTAATAATGGTGGTGTCAGTATCTATACTTATACATTTTGGCTCAAAGCTCAAGTTCTTAACCACTGTATTACTTTGCCTTTATTCAGACACTGGAGATTTTGTTTAAAAATCAGCTTTATTAAGGTATAATTTGCGTACAATAAAAGTCACTGATTTTAAGTGTATAGTTCAATGAATTTGACAAATGAATTCATCTGTATAAACACCCTTATCAAAATATAGGATATTTCCATTACCCTAGGAAGTTCACTGTGCCACAACTTTGCACTCTGTCTTCTACCTTCACCTCTGACACCTGGGAACCAGTAATCTATTTTCTATCATTATGGTTTTGCCTTTTCTAGGATTTTGTATTAATAGAGTCATTCAGTATATAGTCTCTTATGTCTGACTTCTTTCACTTGGCCTAATGTTTTTGAGATTCAATAATATTGAATGTTTCACTATTTTTTCTTTTAATTGCTGAGTAGTATTCCATTATATGTATATAACATGATGTATTTATATATTCATCAGTTAAAAGATATTTGAGTTTCTTTGTTCCTAAAGTTTTGGGCGACTGTGAAGAAAGCTGTTGTAAACATTCACAGTCAGGTTTCTGTGTGGACATGTCTTCACGTCTCATGGGTAAATATCTAGGACCACATTGCTGGCTTATGTGGCCAAATGTATGTTTAACAGTATAAGAAACTGCATAACTGTTTTCTAAAGTAACTATCATTTTGCATGTCTGCCAGCAATGTATAGAAGTTTCAGTTCCATATCCTTGCCAACACTTGATGTTTTCAGTCTTTCAGATTTTAGTGGGTATATGTAGTAGTATCTTATTGTCACAATTTGCATTTTCTTAATGACTAATGAGGTTGAGTATACTTCCATGTGCTTATTTCCATTTGCACATCCTTCATAAAATGTCTCTTCTAATCTTTTGCCTATTTTTCTCATAAGTTGTTTGTCTTGAGTTGTAAGAGTTTTTTCTATTTTATGACTACGAGTCTTTTATCAGTCCTGTGTATTGTGATGTTTTTCTGCCAGTCTGTTGTTAGTTGTCTTAGCAGTGTCTTTTGAAGTGCAAAAGTTTAAAGTACAATTTATGGATTTTTTTTTTCTTTTACGATCTATGACTTTTGTGTTCTATCTAAGAAATTGTTGTCTAAGTCACGGAAGATTTTCTTGTATATTCTAGAAGCTTTATCTTTTTTTGTGGTTAGGTATATAATCATTTCATGTTAATTTATATATATATATTGTGTGTGTGTGGTAAGGGTGGAAGATTTTTTCCCCTCCACTGTAGATGTTCAGTTATTGTAGGACCCATGTGTTGAAAAGTCCATCTTTATTCATTAAATTTTCTTGGAACTTTTCTCAAGAATTAATTAATGTGTATAAATTTATTTCTGGAGTCTTTAATCTGCCCCATTGATCCATGTGTTTATCCTTATGCCAGTACCACATTGTCTTGATTCCTGTGTCCTTACAGTAGATATTGAAATCAGATACTGTGGTTTTGTGCCTCTTTTCAAAGTCAGTTTAATTATTTAGGGCCTTTGCATTTCCACAAAGATTTTAGAATTATCCATTTCTTTTTTTAAGAAAAAGCATGCTAGGATTTTAATTTGGGTCAGTTTGAATCTGTGACTCAATTTGGGAAGATCTGACATCTTAGCAATATTGACTCTTTTAGCCGTGAACATAGCATGCTTCTCCAGTTATTTAGGTGTTTAATTTCTCTTAGCAATGTTTTATATAGTTTTCAGTGTTTGGATCTTGCATGTATCTTGGTAAGCTTACCTCTAAGTACTTTGTGTTTTTGATGCTGCTGTTAAATGTTATTTTAATTTCAATTTCTAATTGTTGCTACTGTATAGAAATAAAATTTATTTTTGTATATTGACCTTGTATCCTGTGAATTGTTAAATTCACTTACTAGTTCTAGTAATTTTTTCGTAGAACCTGTGTGATATTCTGAGAAGACAGTCATGTCACCTGCAAATCGAGATGGTGCCCTTCTTTCGAATTTTATGCCCTATAAACTAAATTTTTAAACAAAGACTTTGCATTTTTGTTTATGCGTGATACTAGTCTATGGTTTTCTTGCAATATGCATGTATGTACATACACATGTATATCTTTATGTATTTTTGGCTTTAGTATCAGCTTGTATTAGTTTGCTAGGGCTCCTGTACATAGGTACAGACAGGGCAGCTGAAACAGCAGAAATGTATTTTCTCACTGTTTCAGAGGCTAGAGCATGATGGTATTGGCAAGTTTGAGTTCTTCTGAGGCCTCTCTCCTTGGTTTGCAGATGGCCACCTTCTTGATGTGTCTTCACAAGGTTGTCGCTTGGTTTGTGTGTAGTCTGTATCCTATTGTCTTTTTAGGACACCAGTCATATTGTGATTAGGGCCCACATATATGACCTCATTTTAACCTAATTACCTCTTTAAGGCTCAGTCTCCAAATACAGTCTTCTGAGGTACTGAGGGGTAGGATTTCAATATATGAATTTGGGAGAAGACACAATTGAGCCCATCACCCAGGGTGATACTGGACTTCTGAAAGGAGTTGAGAAATGTTCTCTCTCTATTTTCTGAAAGAGTTTGTGGAGTTGGTATGTTTGGTCGAATCCGTCAGTGAAGCCATACTATTTGTGGAAAGCTTTATTTACTCCTTCGGTTTCTTTGATGGATGGAGAACTGCGCAGACTCCTTATTTCTTGAGTGAGTTTATTGAGACTTGTTTTCGTGGTCCATCATAGCTGTATCTTGGTTAATGCTGCATATGCATTCGAAGAAAATGAGTATTGTGCTGTGTGTAGCCTGGTGTATTCTCTACATGTCAGTCAAGTTGGTGGATGTGTTAGGCTGTGTATACCCCTGCTGATTTTCTATGTACTTGTTTTGTCAGTTACTGAAAGAGGAGTGTTAAAATCTTTAACTGTTTCAAGTATAATCGTGGATTTCACTATGTTTCCTTGCACTACTGTCAACTTTTGTTTCATGTGTTTTGAACCTTGGTAAGTAGGGCACACACATTTAGAGTTGGTGGATTGATCCCCTTGTCATTTTAAAATGTCCTTGCTTATTCCTGGTAATATTTGTTGTTCTGAAATCTATTTAGTCTGTTAAGGTAGCCTCTACAGCTTTCTTAAGTGTTTGCATGGCATATTATTTTGTCCTTCACTACTTCTATGGTCTGTTTTAATATTTAATAAATAGATTTCTTGTAGATAGCATTTAGCTGAGTCCTTTTTATTTTATATGATAATTTGCCTTTTTAATTGAATTGGTTAGGCTGTTTGCATTTTAAAGTAATTATGATGTGCTTGGTTTTATGTGTACATCTTGCTTGCTCTTTATTTTCTGTTTGTCTCATCTATTATTCCTTTTTTTCTTCCTTTCCTATCCTCTTTTGGATTAGTTGGGTATTTTTAAGGTTTCTGTTTTGTTTCCACAGTTGATTTATTAGTGATAATTGTGTTGTATGTGTGTGTGTTTAGAGGGGAATGCTTGCTCTAGGGTTTGCAATACTTATTTTTAATTTTTTATACCCTACCTTCAAATGGCATTACATCATTTCATGTACAGTGTAAGAATTTTGCAATAGTATGCTTCCATTCTGTAGCCTTCTTTCCAGTTACTCCCTCATGGCCAGAAGTGTAAGTTAAGTTCTCTATTCCTTTAAAAAAAAAAAAAACTGAGGTAAAATTCATACCTCATAAAATTACCACTTTAATTATTTGAAGTGTACAGTTTAGCAGAAAGATCTCTTTCCCCAAATCTTAAAAATGCTCTTTTAGCGGTGCTGTTTAAAAGGTTGGTGTGTTAATATCTAGATTGAGAATTTGGATGTTTACTCTTGTCCATTTAACAGTTAAGTTTTAGAAAATTTATCAGTGTTAGGACCGCACAGTTTCATCCAAGGAAACAGTTTTTTTTAAAATCAAAATAATATGTGGAGAAATTAAGACTGTGTTATTGGCGTAAGAATAGACAGATCAGTATTAACGAATAGAGAGCACAGAAGTAGACGCACATAAATATAGTCAACGATCTTTGACAAAGCAGCAGAGGCAAAACAATGTAGAAAAGATAGCTTTTCTAGCAAATGGTGCTGAAACAACTGGATATCCACATGCAGAAAAATGAATCTAGAAACAGATTTTATAACTTTAACATCAGGTCTCAGTTCCCTCATCTATAAAATGGGTCTACTAATAGTTACCTGCCAATGCTGTGCTGTTGAACGGACTAAATGAGTTAATATGTCATTGCTTTAATGGATATGCATAGTTTGTGTTAAGTATTAGCTCTCATTACCATCTTCACTACCTAGAAGAGTTACTGAAATTGGAATTTAAATTTATCACTCAGGAAATTACTTTTCTTTGAGATAGGAAATAAAAGGATTCAGATGAACAGGTCTAGGTAAGTGCTTTTAAGTACAGGGATGGTTGAAAAAATGGTAGAACTTAAGCACTCTTGTAATTGTGTTCACTTTCAAAAATTATGGGCAAGTTAAAGTATTGGGGCCAGTTAAACTTTTCATTTACTTTATCTTAGAACTTGATGTCCTCTACGGCCATTTTGAACAAATTGTCATTTTACCAGCATTTCCCTAAAGCTCATTCAGCTCAGTAGAAATTTCATCTCTCATTGATGAAAAGTGTGAAGACTTAGCTGTGTACTGAAATACGATTTTGTTAGTATTGTTATTGGCTTTTTTCAATTAGTAACCACTCTACTTTAAAAATGTATTAATTATTTTTCTGTTTTCTTTTTAGCCCTATCTGCTTTGATATGATTGAGGAAGCATACATGACGAAGTGTGGCCATAGCTTTTGGTAAGATGATTTTATTTAGTGAAATTGCCTTTTGGCAATTTTTGATTTGTGTGTAAATGTAGCCAGTGAGAAGTTAATGTTTTTAAAACTAATTTTGGTTATTTTGAATCGTATTTCTGTGACTGATATGTCTTTACAAATTCAACATCTCAAGGCAGTAAACTTGGTTAGTGCATAATTTCTATGAAGTTTTACCATTGGCCTTATAGATGGATTTTAAAACTTTTGGGTTTATTAATTGTTTAAAGAGCTTTGACTGCTGTTTTAAGAAATTGGGTGATACTGTGTAATCAGGATGAAGCATGAAACACCTTTAACTCACTTGGGATTAGATATGAGGGCCATGAAAGCAGTCCAGAAGGTCGTTGGGAAAGGATATTAGAGAATTAAAAAGTTATGTATCCTTTTCTGTAACATTTTTACTCAGTGCTATCTTTAGGTTGTATGTCACGTTAGTCTGTGTTTTAAAAAATTTTTATTTGTGATAAAATACACGTAACTTATAATTTACCATCTTAACCATTTTTAAGTGGAGTAACATTGTTAAGTGTTGTTCACATTGGTTGTACAATTTCTAGAACTTTTTCATCTTGCAAAACTGAAACTCTGCCCATTGAACAAGTCTCCATTTCCCTTTCCACTCAACCTCTGTCAGTCACCATTCGTTGTTTCTATGAATTTGACTACTCTGGGTACCTCATGTAAGTGGATCGAACAGTAGTTGTCTTTTGTGACTGACTTATTTCACTTAGCGTGGTGTGCTCAGGTTTCATCCATGCTGTAGCATGTTTGTGCATTCATCTACCTGTGGACTCTGGGGTCTCTTTCACCTTTTAACTGTTGACATTAATTCTGCTTTGAACATTAGTGTATAAATATCTCCTCGAGATCCTCCTTTCAGTTCTTTCAGGTATGTACCTGGAAGTGGAATTGCTGGATCATAAGGTAATTCTGTATTTAATTTTCTGCAGAACCTCTGTAATGTTTTTCATATCTGCAGTACCATTTTACATTCCCACCAATAGTTCACAGGGGTCCCAGTTTTTCTAATTCCTCTCCAACACTTATGATTTTCCTTTTTTTTTTTACTAGTGGCCATCCTAGTGTGTATGTAATCTATATGTTTAGTTCTTTTAATTAATTAATTTTTTTATCTATTTAATGAGGGGTGATATATTCTACTTGTAATCAATAATCTCCGTAAATTATTTACACTGTTGGTATAGTATTTCTGTTGTGTTCTAATAGTCCTTATATTCTTATTCATGTTGAAGTTAGACCCATATTTTTTATACTGAGATTGAATATGGTATCTGATAGGATGATATCCATTAGTCAAGAAGATGATTATCACCAGTCTCTAAGTCCTTTAGTTTGATCTGGAATGTGATGCTTCACTGATAGGTATATTCAATCTGCTAGTCATTAAAATTTTTTTTAGAATAAAATTGCTTTCTTAGTTTGTATTATCTATGTTCTTTTTTTAAAATAAAGAGTATTAAAATGATAAGAACAATGTATACTCTTGGCTATAAAAACAACTTTTATTGTACAGAAAAATATAATATGAAATGGAAGTGTTTCCCTTTCCATAGCCTTTCTTTTCTACCTCCTCAAAGGGTATCATTGATAAGAAGTGATTGTATTTCCTTTCAGAATCTTTTTGCTGTTTTTTTTTTTAAGCCATCTTACCTTCTTAAATAATTTTTATTTCCTGGTATTTTGTTTCATTGACGTTATTATCATTTGTGAATCACTTTCTGCCTAATATTGCTACTGAAATTCTGGCCATGTGGGTCTTGCTTTTAGGCTATAGATGTATGATCTTGGTCTTTTCAAGCTTCTTATTTAGCAGTAGTGTTTCCTTTGTTACATTAATTGATCCAGCACGTTAGCATTCCATAGGAAATCATATACTTCTAGAGATTTTGCGTTTTGATTACTCTGGAAAATTGGGTGATTGAGAGTAGGGTTTCTTGATCTTGATAGTATTAAATTTTAGACCAGAAAATTCTTTGTTGTGGGTAACTGTCCTGGGTATTATACATTGTTTAGCAGTGTCCCTGGCTTCTACCCAGTAGCAACCCCTTTACTCCCAGTTGTGACAACCAGAATATCTCCAGACTTTGCCACATGTTCCTTAGAGGATAAAATTGCCTGCAGTTGAGAACTGCTGATGTAAAGCTAAAAGAACAAGTTTGGTAGACCAGAAATCTAGGTGGGTCTGCAGCTTACCTTACCTTTGTCAAGTCACTCAGCCTGTCTCTTCTGTTACTGCTCTCTAGCCCCCAACCCTCATTGTCTTCCTACCCCTTCACCTCCCCTTTCACAGATTTAAAGGTATTGAAGAGAAACAGATTGTAGGTGAAAGAGAAACAAGGTGAAAGTGAAACAGATTGTAAAGTGAGGTTTTTATTTTTCCTAACTGCCCTCCGCTAACTTAAATATTCACTGTGGCATTAAAAAAAAAGGTGAAGAGTCTGTGATCTTGCTTGACTATGTTGTGAAGTATAATAAATTACTGTTTGACTTTATAACTAGACAGACCTGGACTTTTCAATGAGTCCAATAATCTTCATGGTTTATCTTTGGGTCGTTGTTGGAAAGCCCCATTGGTTTCTTAAATACCTTTTTTTCCTTCAAATAAAAATAAAGTTTAGATCCTTGTTACAACTCAAGTGACTGTATTAACCCTGTGGTGCTTGTGTTTTAAAATACCAACTAGAGAGCAGGTTTTAGGGGGGAGGGTATATCTCAAGCGGTAGAGTGCATGCTTAGCATGCATGAGGTCCTGGGTTCAATCCCCAGTACCTCCTCTAAAAATAAATAAACAAATAAATACCACCCCCCTCCAATAGCAAATTCTGGTAGGATAGAGACTATAACATTGGCAGGAGCTAATAAACTTGGAGACTGCCAGTCCCATTGTCAGGCTTGCTGAACTGTAAAACATTTTGTACTTTTCTTGTTTTAAAGAAAAAGCTGGTAATTATTTACTCAACATGTGAGTCCTGTGGAACTTGAATCATTAACAATAGCCTGTTGTATCAACTCTTTGCTAACTGGAAACCTAGCTGGTAACCTGGAGCCAAGCACTATACCAGGTCTTCGAGATTCCATCCAGCTTATTGGGCCACACAACTGTTTATCCCTTGTCCCACTTATGAATGGCAAGCCTTTCCTGGTAACAGGTTGAAGACAATATAGCAAGAACTTCTTTCGCTTTATTCATACCCACTTGACAGTGAATCTGCTATTAGCTATAGTCTAACTGAAACTCAATGATAGAATTAAAAACTCTGGCTTCTATATGACATAGAGAGAAGATTTGCTTTGTCTTTGCCTTATCGCTGCCTCCAGCTTGTCCCCTGCCCCTGCTTCTCAGACCTCATGTCTGTCAAGTCCCTATTTACTATTTTGTGTCATTACAGATTAGTTATGATTAACAGGGTCCCTCA